TATGAGGTTGGCAAAAATGGTGGTTGTATTGACATCGGTGGGCTGCCGTTTTGCATGGCAGTTTATGATCCACAACCACAATCTCTCTCTATCTCTAACAGAAACGACCATGGCGAACTACAATCAACACCACCATCACCGCCACTTACCAGCACCACCTTCACGCCCAACTCCTTCGAGTCGCTGTCCTTGACTCACCCAGTCAACCCATCACCACCAATCCACCTCGAACCAACTGGATCTTTTGGCTCTACCTCGAGTTCCTTCTCAACAAAATCCACTGGCTCTAGTTGCTCCTGTGGTTGGCTTTTCGCATTGTCATCGACAACTGATGGCTCAGTGACATCTTCTATCTTTGGAATCTACATCCTCAATCTCCTTATCGGGTTTCTCTCTCTCCTCACTGTTCGTCGCCGCCATCGGTGGTGGCTCCGACTACAACTCCACGTGGCGAGGCTCACCACTAATTGTCTCGTCGGCGAGCTTCCACGCCTCCGCCGCGCTCCCGTCGGGATCGGCGTTTCACCCTTGCCGTGCTGCTACCAAAACACACCATTAATTTGAGGGAGGATGGGCTCTCCTCTCTAATGGCGATGAACACTATCGAAGCTCCCTCTCATGGGCTCTCTCTCTCTCAAACGCGGCCTTGTAGAACTCTACAGTGTCGTTGGCCTTCGGTGCTTCCACAAACAGCTGAGACTTCATCGCCGAGAAGGTCACCGCCTTCGAGACTCCAACATGACCTCACTTCTCTCTCCATGGACCCAACTTCTTAATATAATATCACCCACTCACTTCTTTTTTTTTTATGATGAAAACATTTTTTAATATTTTTTACTCAACCCACTCTCTCTCTTTCCTTTTTTGGCAGTTTGAAAACACACTTCTCACTCTCTCTCTCTCTCTCTCTCTCTACTCAAGGACATCTGCCACTTTGTCAACTTTTCAACCCATCCTCCTTCACCTTTTGCACTCCACTCACCGACTCCCTCACCACAAAATAGAATACCTATATCTATTTTATCTTATCTATCTTGTGTCCTCTGTGTGTGTCCTGCGTGTGTCTCTCCCCCATACCACCATACCCACCGTTTCTTCCTCTTTTATTTTATCCTATTTTATTTTCTTTTATCACAAACACAACAATATCCAATACTTAAAGTGCCAGCATACCATCACAGACTATTATTCACAAAACCACCAAATTCAAGTCCTCCATTTCCATTGCAATTCCAGTTCCGCATTACACCCACACACACCCTCCAAAAACAAAACAAAACCAACACAAACAACCAACCTCCCTCGCACAGGAGGGATTTTTCTCTTCCCTTCCTTTACTCTGCTGCCAGTCTCTTCTTCTTGTTTTTATCTTGGGTGTCCCGGGACAGCCCAGCCTCCGTGCTTCTAAGTTCACTCAGCACATTCACTCCCCGCTGCTCCTCAACCGCAGCATATGGTGGACCTCCAAATCGGAACATAACGGTGGCCTTCCGCTTCAGCTCCTTGTTTTCCGCCTTCAGCACATATATCTCTGCTCGCGCATCCTTATACATCCGCTGGAGCAGAGCCAGTTGGGCGTTTAACTGCTGCACCTCATTTGTCCTACTCTGAAGCTGGTGCGACAAGTTTGTGACCGCAGTCATGGTCTCCACACATGACTTCAATGTATACTGATTGGCCTCAATATCCGATTGCGCTGCCATTATTTGCTCCACAGACCGCATAGGAAAGTTTAACGGAGCAAAACCAAAGGCGCTTGGTTGAGGTTCAAGGGCAACCGCTCCGGTTATCTCTCTTGTGGACTCGTTGAGGTCTGGAAAGAGAGTGAGCAGACCACGAGAAGAAGAGGCCATGTTCTGGGTTGCTGACCGGGAAGAAGAGGCCATGTTTTGGGTTGCTGAGTGTTTCAGAGAAGCAGCGATTTCAGACTGGTAATGTCAGAAAGGGTTGGTTGCAGAGTGTTTAAGAATGAAAATGTTCAGAGGTTTCAGACTAGTTTGGTTTGCACAGCCTCTGCATCGGTTTATATAGACAATGACGAAGAGGATGACACGATGCTCTGTCAATCACGTGCATCGACGCGTGTCCGGCGCGACTTTTGATGGCTCGCCGCTCAACGATTTCTGTCGGACACGACTTTTGATGAATTGGGCGCGCCTTTTGAGGGCACGACTTTTGAAGGCTTGATATATATATATTTGGGCAGCCTATATACACAATCATATAGTATCTTCTACATCAGTCCGGCATGACCCCATAAACTGTCCCGACATTGATTCCGGTTAGCTTCTACATCAGTCCGGCATGACCCGTAAACTGTCCCGTCATTGATTCTTGATGAATTGGGCGCCCCTTTTGAGGGCACGACTTTTGAAGGCTCGATATATATATATTTGGGCAGCCTATATACACAATCATATAGTGTATTCTACATCGGTCCGACATGACCTCGTAAACTGTCCCGACATTGATTCCGGTTAGCTTCTACATCGGTCCGGCGTGATCTCATAAACTGTCCCGACATTGATTCCAGTTAGCTTCTACAACGGTCCGGCATGACCCCATAAACTGTCCCGACATTGATTTCGGTTAGCTTTTACAACGGTCCGGCATGACCCCATAAACTGTCCCGACATTGATTCCGGTTAGCGTCTACAACGGTTCGACACGACTATACAGTGTCTTCACCAACGGTCTGACACGACCATACAGTGTCTCCTATCCACTTTTATTTGTCAGTTTATTTTCTTGTTTTGTTACTCTCTCCAAACTCAAGTTAGTTAGTGCCTATCCTCCTTGAGTTTGAGGGGGGCTGTTAGTATATTAATATATATATTAGCTGTCAAACCTTTAATAATGTTGTTTGGTTTGTGCTTCTACTTTCGGTTTGTAATTGTTCTCCCTCTCCTCTATATAGGAGAGAGCTCAACATAACATTCATATAATCAATAATACAATCAATATACATACAATTCTCTATTTCTCTATACATTAAATTAACATCTATTACCAGTACCACACGAGCCATGGCAAGACCTAAGCATGAACTTCATCCTAGGGCTGCCACGAACCCTTAGGGTATATGATTCCTTTTTTGTGGTGGTGGACCGCTACTCAAAAATGGCTCACTTTGTCCCTTGTTCAAAGACTTCTAATGCTGTCCATATTGCTAAAATATTCTTCAAAGAAGTTGTCCAATATCATGGTTTGCCAAAAACAATTGTCTCAGCAATGTGAAGTTTATAAGTTATTTTTGGCGTACTTTGTGGAAGGTGCCGCATACAAAACTGAAATTTTCTTCTTCTTTCCATCCCCAAACTGATGGTCAAACAAAGGTTGTTAATCAAAGTTTAGATGACCTTCTTCGTTGCCTTGTAGGCGATCATGTTGGTAGTTGAGATCAAATTCTTTCTATGGCTGAATTCGCATATAACAGATCAGTTAATCGGACCACTGGTCGCAGCCCACCACTGGTCGCAGCCCCTTTGAGACTGTGACAGGTTTACTTCCTCGTAAACCAGTTGATTTGGTTCCTTTACCCGTTGAGACATGTCCTAATGTTGAAGCAGATGCTTTTGCTAAGCATATTCATGCAATACATGATGAGGTTCGAAGAAAGATTGTACTCAACAATGAGAGTTATAAAACACATGCTGATTTGAGAAGAAAGTTTGCAGAATTTGAAGAAGGGGACATGGTTATGGTCCGCATCAGATCTGAGAGATATCCTAAGGGTGCATACGAGAAACTCCATTCAAGAAGTTCTGGTCCACACAAAGTTCACAAGAAAATTAGTTATGTACTTGATTTGCCGGACAATGTAGGCATAAGTAATGTCTTCAAAATTGAGGATCTTACATTATACCGAGGTCACGGTGATGATGATCCTGATGATGATGTTGTTACTCGACTTCCACCAGCCCCACATTTGAAGGAAGACATTGAAGATATTATTGATCATCAACTTGTTTTCACTGAAGGTGGTGGCTATCAAAAGTATCTCATCAAATGGAAGGGGCGTCCACTGTCAAATTGTACATAGATCAATGATGAGGAGTTCCAACTCCTAGACCATGACTTGTATGAACGATTCTATGCTTTTAACTCGCCTGGGTCGAGTTTTTTTCAGCCGGGGAGAGATGATGGAGGCAAGTGGCCGCAGCCTCTTAAGGTGTACAAGAGACGAGGAAGAGATGCCTCTAAGGCCCAAGCTTTGATTTGGTATGCATTGGATGATGAACAACTCATTTGGGGCCGTGGATAGTTATGTTTTAGGCTTATGAGTTGTGTTCTATTATTATTATTTTAGTTTAGGGTATTTTGGTAATTTCATAATTTCTAGACATGGGTTATATGGGTCGTCTTGTGGGTCAAGTTATTTAATTAGGTTTTATTTATGTTTCTTATTTGGTCTTAAATTAGTTTTGGAAGTCTAACATATTATAATATCCTTTTTTTGTTCTAATTGGTTTATGAAGTCTCTTAGTTCTATATAAAGCCATATAATGCTATTAATTTAATGCACTTGATATTTTCGAGAATTTTAGAGCTTTTGAAGCTTCTTTATGGATTGTGTGATGCAATCAAACCCTAGGTGTGATGCCTAAGGAATTCTAGGAGTGATTCTTAAACTTATCTTCTTCTTCTCCTTCATTCCCAAGGTGTGAACAGCCCAAACACTGTTCATGGGTACTTTCACTGCCCCAGAACAGCTCTTACAGCACTGTCCTGCATCAATGAAAGAGAAAGCAGCAGCAGGCAGTACTTTTGCCATTCTAAATATCTTTCTGCAGACCTTATTAGGCAGAACTTTTAAAACAATGTTAATAGGATTTGAGTATAACAAGAAGCAAGTTGAATGTCGGATTAGGCAATACCAAGGGGATGTAGTTGTTTGTTTTAACATCAAAGGAAAAATCTCCATTCCTTGGCTTACTGTACTGTCATGTTTGCTTACCTAGTTTCTTTGTTTTTCTTCTATTTTTTCATTCATGTCACAGAGTTCTAGCAACCAGAGAATGCCTCGGTTGATTTTCCACTGGAAAGTCCCAACCAATGATTTATCGTGCTGACCCTGCTTATCACTTTCACGGGGACAAATTAATGATACCTGGTGTCACAACTTGGGATTGATCTGTCTATTTATTTTTGGTAATCTTGTCCCCATATAGCATGGGTGGGACTTCACTGGCGCATGGAAAATTGCTGCTTTATAGTGCATCATCTTGCAGAGAGTGTAAGTTCCTTCTCCAAGGATTTCTTCCATTGAGGCTAATAGAATGTTGATATTGGATCCTTACTGAAGAATTTTGTCACATATCCCAAGTGTGCTGGCACAACACTGCAACGGGGAAACGGGTTTTCTGCTCTCAATCCAATATGTTTTAGGAATTCACAAGTAACTTGGGTTAACTCACTGAAAGCATGGATGATTATTTTTTCTTTGCATTTGGTTGTAAATAAGAGGACATTGTTGATTTGTGATACTAATCTACTAAAGAGATATATTTCTCTCCTCTGGATACCTTGGGATTGATCTGTCTATTTATTTCTAGTAATCATGCATGGGTGGGACTTCACCGGCTCTTGGTCAATTGCCGCATTATATTGCATCATCTTGCTGAGAGTGAAAGTGGCCAGTAGTATGCTGATATTGGATCCTTATTGAAGAATGTTGTTACATATTCTTAGTGTACTGGCATAGCTCTGCATTGGATCCTCAAGGATTAAAAGGATACTCTCTTTTTATTTTTTATTTTTATCTCAATGATTCTTGTATTAGTTCGTTGGTTTGGATACTTTTTTAATATGAACTAATGTTTGTTGGTTTGGATTGTTGTCTCATATGTGTCATACCCAAATACTGATTTCTTTTAATTTGAGCTGAAATTAGAGATGATTTTTTACTACAATGTTTTCAAAATCAGTCCAGTTGAATCAACCCCTAAACCCGCTTTAGGCTGAAAACTGACCTATTTCATCAAACCAGTAAGCAGCCGAGCTCGAAACCCACATTTGTTTCACACACCAACACCACTTTGAGCTGAAATTAGGGATTGATTGTTTACAAGAATGTTTTCAAAATCGTACCAGTCGGATCAATCCATACACCCCCGCTTTAGGCTGAAAATTGGCCTATTTTTATCATCAAAAGTAAGCCGCTGAGCTCAAACATACACTTGTTTCACGCATTAACACCATTTCAAAAAAGCTGTCATAGTTAAGTTGCCGTTACAAAGAATATTGCAAGTGGGCAGTCTTACTGTTTTTGCTAGTTACTCATTTGTTAACGACTGCATGATATATTTTATTTATTCGTTCTTTTTCATTTTTACAAATCAATACTATTTCCTGTAAGAAGTAATGTATAAAAAATTTATTGAATTAAAATTAAATTCTTAATATTTGTGCAATGCGCTTTGCACAAATTTTTTTTTTTTCTTTTTTTTGAAATGTCAGTTATGAAGAGGACACATTAACTTTAGGGACTTTGTTGCTGGCAAGTATCAAATCAATTGCTACAGTTTGAGTCTTAACATTGAATAGGTGCTTATATGTTTCGTTTGTAGCAAAATTAACATAGTGATATGCAATGCAAAACCATGTACTGGCCTCGATTTTTTTAATATAATCCTATGGGCTCAAAACTAAAGAGTGATTAAGTGAAGCCCCCCAAAACAAAGCAAACCAATCCAAAGAGGTTTTCCTTGAGAATGGAAAGGGGGATGTGAAGTGAAGAAAAGGCCCAAAGACAAACTGAATGAGTAAGACTAGAGAGCATGGGGTGCCTGCCATGTGGGGCAGCACAATAAAGGCGGTTCATGTCAACAACTCTCCACAATACCCATGTGTGGTTTACGCTGTTTCTCATTCTCTTCTCCCACAACACAACAATGGTCCCCTCCCCTCCTTCCCTTGCTTGCTTTCACAAAGGACAATACATACATATATATATATATATATAATTTATTATTAAAGCTGATAGCGAAATTTATCCTCAGCAGCATTTTTGCAGCCTCATAAACCTTCTTGCGTGTCGTCATGTCATGCTTTGCCTCCCAATTATTCCCAATTTACAATTATTTATATATATATTGATTCCAAAAATGAAAACTCCTATAAGAAACATGCAATAGAAATACAATACACATAAACACATGTGGATAGAGGAAGAAATGGACGGCCTCAGTAAGGCCCGTACCTACCCTCGTTTATCAAATTACGGTCCTGATTTAGCTACATGGCACCAGTTAGAGATTTCTATTTATTCTGAACATTATCTCTCCACATCTCTCTCTGCATTGCTGCAAAAATGAAGTAAGAAATTTACTTGATAGTCGCTATTTCTATCTATTCTAAACGCTGTGAATTGTCCGTGCTTTACGTACGCACAAAGGATTTTGGCTCTGCTTCCAACAAGGCTTCAAAGTGGTGACACCAGCTCTATTCTACGAGAGCAGAGTAGTGCAATACCAATACCAATACCAATACCATCTGCAAAACCAAGATATATAACTTGTGCAGTGCAGGTGTTCTCTGTTCATATAAACCTCTTTTTTGCTCTTATGTTCTTCCAATCAAATGAGGTTCTAATATCTCTCAATTTTGCTTTTTCGATTTTACCTTTTCGTGAAAAATTGAGTTACAAATTTCAATCAATCCATACTGCAATTGAGTTGTGTCTCTGGGTGGGTAGTTATTGACGTTGCAGTACTGTTTTCATTTAATTAGAAAGGGTACTTGGCCGCTTCTTCATCAGTTTTGATTTTTTGTTTTTTAAATTATAAATCTCCTGAATATATTGGAAGGATCTGCGGTTGTTCTTGTTGCATATGCTCTCACCCACTTTATGTAGATTAACAAGGTCCTTTTGTTTTGTGGTAGAATAGAATGACAATGAATTAATTTTCTGGTTTTGTAAAATAAAATAGAAATGAAGCAGCCTCGTTCATGTTGTATTGGTAGGTGGGGAACGCTATAGCTTGTTGGGCGAGGGGAAATATTGGAAAATGGAGTCAGGTAATTATCTGAATTCATCTTCTGCGTCAAGTTCTAAAGAAGCATCAGCATCAGCATCAAACAGTCATCAGTTCTCTAGTGGAGGAGAACAAGGGGGATCATCATCCGTACAAGTCTTTGAACCCGGGGTGGTAAGTAGTCATCAGGGCGTCGAACAGTCCAGTGGCAGCAGGAGTACTGCTGCTGGTATTGATGATGCATCTACTTCTAGGATTTCCACCAATGATAGGGACAGGGATAGGGATAGGGATAGGGATCGGGATAGGGAGCCCGTAGTAGTCAACAAGTGGATGGCATTTGAGCAGCAAGAGGCCGACAAGTCTTCCAATCAAGTCAGGGACTACTTAAATGGTGGGAATGCTGCTGGAAGAACAGGAGGAAGAGGAGGAGAAGGTGATCTTAATTATAATCCAGATGAATCTTCTCATGATGATGATCAGACTCAGACTCAGACTCAGACTCAGACTCTAACTGAAGCAAGCATAGCTGAAAGGTTGGCAGAATGGGGGGGACAAATATTTGGGGATGGAGATCAACGAAGTAGCAAAAGCTTATCTGAGAGATTTAAGCTGGTGGAATCAACTAGGACATCATCAGAAGACTCTGAACATGGATTCCCTAGAGTCTCTCAGGAATTGAAGGATGCTCTCGCAACACTGCAACAGACATTTGTTGTCTCGGATGCCACCAAGCCTGATTGCCCTATAGTCTACGCCAGTAGTGGCTTTTCTACCATGACTGGCTATCCCACAAACGAGGTCATTGGAAGGAATTGGTAAGCACTGCACTTCATTCCGCTCTTCTTCTTCTTCTTTTGCTGCTTCTATCTTCACACATATTGGTCATATGCGTAAAACAAAACCCATTGGAATTAATTAAGACTAGCTTGGTTATACAGAGTCTGATTTTCGCTTACACTTGACAAATTTGCGACTGTAAGGTGAGGGATGCAGGGTCAAGCAGAGGGAAGGGCCACTAAAATGTTGCGCATTTGGAAGCTTTTTAATTTTTTATGCCAATTACACTTAGACCCAAATAGAAAAAGAAATAAAACACTATTAACTTCAAAATTTTAACCACTTCTAGCAAAAGAAAAAATAGAATCCCTTGACTGCAATGGGTATACATAAAACTAAAAATTAGCTTTAAAAAATATTCCAAAACTAATTTTAAAATTTTCATTTTTTGTTTTTTGAAATAAACCACGTCTTTTGGCTTCTCCCTCGAGGTTGTATTTTATATAGGTAATTGTGGTTGTTGAACTTTTAACTCTTGATAATAGAAAATACTATATGCACTTCATAACTGAAAAGAAAAATGAAATAATTTTAATTCTCCGAGTTATAATTAAAAAATAAAATAAAAAATGTCATAACTAAACACAACTAAGGTATAACTAAAGAACTCATAGATCATAATTAAAATAATATCATAACTAAAAAAAAAATTAATCACAAATAAAAAAAAAAAAAAACATAACTAAGAGTGTATATGATATATATTTATTTAAAAATGTGTATATTGTGGGCCTGCAAAAGTTTGAAAAACTTCATATATAATATATGGATGGTTGTGAATAGTGAGGGTGTGCATAAAGCTTCTGGCTTACAAAATTATCCCACAACATTAGGTTTGTGAATGAAAGTTAAAAACATGACCATGGGCTTATAAAAGTGTCAGTAATTAGTTTTGGATAGTATTTATATTTAATTGGACCAATAGAATCTAAAATTAATTTCAGATTTTTAAAAAAAATAAATAAATTTTGACCACCTAAGAAATATATATATTTAACCATTAAAAAAAAAGAAATATATTTTTAAAGTTGAGCTACCGTTAATTTTAATACTAGATAACTTGACATGTTATGTTGATCACATTTATGTGTCATATTTTATTTATCATTCTATGGATAATTTCATTAGTAATAAGCTTGTATTAGAACTTATCAAATCAATACAACGATAACATATAAAATAATAAAAAATATATATTACACAAATGTAGTCCACGTATCATTATTGATTCAATATATCTTATTAAATTTACACAATATAAATTTATAAGTACACGAAACTATAAAAACAAGTAATTAATTTTAAGTAGTCTTTTAATAATCTTATTTGAGTAATTCAAAATTTATTTCTATCAAGAAATGCTAAGACTTATAATTTTAAACTCACAATGTGGCAAGGTAATTGGACTCTATACGATTAAGTTTCAACATCTATCATATTACATTATTGTAGGTCAAATTAAGGGATATTTTTTATTATAACCCAACTCGACTAGATTTTTTTATCTAGTAAGATATGCTATATTCTTATTCTTTTAGCTCCTACTATCACAATCCTGACTCCGTCTTGGAATGCATATAATACACTCTTTTTTTTTTTTTTTTTTTAAAGAGGTATATATTAGACTTTTCCATTGATAATTGATGGTTGTAAGGTTTTGTTGGCCTTTTAACTATTTATTTTATTTTATTTTTCTAAGAAAGGACCTTTTAACTATTGCTGGCCTTACAAATTATTTGATGTAATATTTTTTATGTTTATAATTATTCTTCCATATTATAAAAAAAGAAAAGAAAAAAATGATCTGAAATAATCAAACAGTAATATTATTTCAGTGACAAACATAATAGATTAAATAAATTATAACTATTGAATTAATTTAATTTTTCTATCAATCTTATAAAATAAATTATTTGAATTATCAAAACCGAAACCGTGATCAACTCCACTGGGCTGGAGGCAATCCAAGCCCTAATAAATAACTCAAGGGTAAATTACACTGACACCCCTTGAGATTTATGTTTATTATAGTTTCCTCCCTCACATTTGAGAAATTACACTGACTCCCTTGTCAATGTAATTATTTGATGGTGTTACTTTTAAGTTAAAATAACATATTTACCCTTAACCTTTACATATACTTTAAAGGGTAAATTACATTGACACCCCTTGAGGTTTCAATTAAATACGGATCCCCCCTGACATTTGAAAAAAAAAAAAAAACTAATTTAATAAAAATAAATATGAAGAAATATATTTAATTTGTAAAAAATTATTTCTAACCACTCGAAATATAAAAATTATATAAAAATGATAATTATTTCTTATTTCTTAACCAAATTAATTTTTAATTTAAAAAAAATTCAAAAAATCAAACCATACATAGCCTAAGAATCTTTTGATAAGTCATTTCTAACGTTGGTAACTTATTTAATTATTTGTTAATTTTTGCGATATTTTTATCATCTGAGGCTTGTTTGGTAACCATTTCGTTTTCAGTTTTCAATTTATGTTTACAAAATTTTAAAAAACTGTCATAAAAACTTGTTTGATAATTTTTTTGATTTATAAATAGTTGTCGCAGTTTGTAAATTTGAGAAAAAAACGTAAATTCAAAAAATGAGTTTATGTTGGTTTTTAAACAGAAATTTAAAAATTTGACTAACAAAATTTTTTTTCAATTAATTTTTTTTCCAATGAATTTTTGTTTTCAATGAATTTTTTTTCAACTAATACTAATCGACGGGGTAATTGGTAATGCTACTTTAAATCTTCGGGAGGAGATTGTAATTTTTAAAATGTGAGGGGTATCAATGTAATTTACCTAGTGAGGGCAAAATTGGTATTTAAAAAAATTAAATTGCTGACATCAGCAAAATCTGTTAGTTGACTACTGAGGGAGCAATTTATAATGAAACTTTAAACCTCAAGGAGGGAATGTAATTTCCAAAAAGTAAGAAACTATAATAAATATAAACTTAAGGGGTGTGAATGTAATTTACCCATAACTCAAAATAAGTTACTGGGAGGGAAGGAAGAGGGAGGGCCATTGAGATTTATAACGGTAACGGTATTAGTTGCAGAATTAGGTAGCTAAGCCTAGGTGGGGTGGGGGGTGTAGTAGGGTAGAGTAAAGTATCTAATTTTGGAATTGGTAATGGAAATGGGAAGATGGGTTGAAGTTGATGGCGGTGTTGTTGGTTTGTTGGATGCAGCCGCTTCCTCCAGGGGTCCGAAACGGACCAGAACGAAGTTGAAAAGATACGGAATGCTGTCAAAACTGGGAAAAGCTACTGTGGCAGGCTCTTGAACTACAAGAAAGATGGCACTCCTTTCTGGAATCTTCTCACTGTCTCCCCTATTAAAGATGACAATGGCAGGACCATCAAATTTATTGGGTAAATATTCCCTCTCTCTCTCTCTCTCTCTCTGTTTACAAACATTAGTTGCTGAACTACAATCTGTTTCAAGGGAAATTCTACTATACACACCCCTTTCAAGGGTTTTCTTCTCAATTTTCTTCTTTGTTAGGACAATATTAGTTATGACTCCTGAAATTGTTATGCCCTCCGGTTATACATGTGTATATTTTTTGTAGTTATGACTAAAACGTATAAAGGTATGCCATTTTCTTTTTTTAATGGGGGATGTGGTCAAAATTTTCTCATAATTGTAAAGGCCAACACATATCATTATTATCAAAATATTAAATTTTAAAATAATATAACTTTTGATACACATCAATTTTTAATAAAATTAGTATTTTTAGAATTCTCTCATCAAAATCTATCGAATAAGATCTATATTGATTATGACATTCTTCAAAATATATATATATATATATATTATCATCGAAATTGATATAAACAATAACAGTAATATGTTACTCTATTTGACAGTAGCATGTTATTTGAGTTCATAGTAACATGTTACTCTAGTAATATTGTCCAAGAAAAAAAAAAGAAATATTTTACTTTATTCTTACTCAATTATCTATTTTCTCCTTAGAGAGATTATGAAATAAAATAAATTGAGCTATCTTTTTCACCAGAGTCCAATGAAGGGGTTTTGGCTAAATTTTCCTATTTTAATTAGAAGGTGCATATGTGTACCATAGTCTTCCCCTCTTTTAATCATCACACAGACTTCATTATTATTATTCTTATTATTTTCTCTCATGCTTTATGTGCCACACTGACTGAAATATAAAGATAAACTAGGGTTTAATCTCTAAGGCTAATGCTAACAAGTGCCACTTGTTAACATGTATGTAATGTTGTATTAGTTTGTCTTAAATTTAGTAACTTTCTATTTAATGTTGGATCAAAAGAAGCTATATAATGATGTCATGATTCAAAAAAGAAGACCTAATTGCTTTTCACATCCACAGTGGTGTGCATGGGTAGAAGGGATGAGAAGATTATTGATAATTTATTTTTACATAGTCCCATGACTTTGGGTTTATGTCTAAGATTGTTTGGATTGGCAGCGGTGGTTTAGGTGTTACCTTCCTGTTGTGTTCAAATATTTTTGACTGACTTTAGTGGGTTTGGCCCTATTAGAAGGGTTCAATTCAAGTTATGCATCATTGGTGCAGTTTTGTGGGTGATTTAGTTGGAGAGAAATGTAGAAATTTTTTAAGACAAGTTTCAAGACATCTAGGGTTTATGGAATAAAATTTATGACTTGTTTTCTTTTTGGGTTTTAGTGTCACCTTTTAAGGGGGGTACCTTTGTTTCTTGATTAATAGAGATAGAGGGTTGTGTGTGAGATGTAATTTTATTAAATTTTCCTGTTTTTTGTTGTTGGACCTCTTATCCCCCTTCATTCTCCCTTTTTTTTTTTCTTTTTTTTTTTCTTCTTTTTATTTTTATTTTTATTATTTGTTTCCGAAAAAAGAAACTAGTTAGTTTCTAGAATTGAAAAAACTAATGAGGTAATTAAGGGGTTCATTAGAAAGACATTTTGCCCAAGGGGTTCAGTGTTCCTATTTGACTTTATCTATTAGGCTAATCTCATTTGCAGTACTTGTTATCATGGTGAAGGAACCAGAGACCTAAATAATGAAAGATAAATCTCAAGCCCATCAAGGGAACATATAGTGGAAGTGCCTTAATGAGTAAAAGATCTCAATCTCCAAAAGAAAGCAGCTATTTGACTCAATAAAAGTTTCAAAAAGGGTTGGATCTACGAGCACATGATAAGAGTTATTGCTGTTGTAGTAGCCAATCCTGTTGCCTGTCCTCTCTGCTGGTTGACAAAGTTATCAATTTCATACTGGCAAGTGTACTGTTTTTGTTATCGGCATGGTACGTACTTGTATGGTGCATTTTGCCATACCATTTTGGACTTGTTGCTATAAATTTATCAATTGTACTGGATTTTTAGTTTTTCTTTTTGTATAAATAATAAGAATCAACATTGTGAAATGTATCTAGTTACTTATTAATAATGTTTTATCATTTTAATATTACTTTTGGTAATTTAATTTACTTATTAACAGCTTTTGGTAATTTAGTTTCTTATTAATAACATTTTTATCATCTTAGTAAAATATGCCACGTATACTTTTTATTTTAAGGAGGAGGGTTGTGTGCTAGGTAGCCAACAACCAACACGTAAAAAAGCCGTTCGGATCCCTTATGAAAATGAATCCTACTTTGAATCGTTTAAATGCTAGGTCATTACCCTCAAGTAACGCGTTGCGCTTGCCTCCAGGTGTTTCGAAAAGTGAGCAAGGGGCGCCGCATCGATGCCTGGGTGCGGTGAAAAATGGGCAAAGGTTTTCGCATTTTTCTGGACGAGCGCGGGTAAAGAAGCTAGTCCAAGACTACAGCTTTAAGGTAGCCACTTGGAATATAGGAACCTTAACTGGTAAGACGATGGAATTGGTAGATGTTATGATTAGGAGGAGAGTTAGTATAGTTTGCGTACAAGAAACTAAGTGGACGGGTGAGAAAGCTAGGGAAATTGAGAATACCGGTTTTTAACTGTATTATAGTGGTAAGGACAGACGCAGGAATGGGGTAGGAATCATAATTGCCAAGAGTCTAGTAGAGAATGTAGTGGTGGTCATTAGGAAAGGGGATAGGATTATGTTAGTTAAACTGGTTATTGGAGGGAATATAGTGAACGACTTAGAAAATATAAGGAAGAAGAACTCCGAAAATATGAGGAAGAAGGAATATATTTGTGTTATATTCAAAACTTCTTATCTTACAAGACCAAATGACACTCCTTATATAGGAGATATTACAAACATCATTATAACCCATTATATGCCACTTACATATTATATCACAAATTTCCAGCAGAACGCTATTAGTGCATACGCCCCTCAAGTAGGATTAGATGATCAGACTAAGAGGGATTTTTGGGAGCAAATGGATGATGAGATCTTACAAGAGATGCCCGTAGGAGAGAACCTGGTTATAGGTGGAGATTTTAATGGTCATGTAGGTATAGATAAACTAGGCTATGAAAGGGTGCATGGTGGACGATTTTGGTAACAGAAATGAGGCTGGGGAGAGTATCTTAGATTTTGCGTTGGCTCTAAGAAGCATGGACACGGACACGTGACACGACACGAATACGATACGGACACGCCGACACGTTAATTTTAAAAAAATGCAGGACACGACTCGTGGAGGACACGCATGAAATATATAATTTTATATATTTATTATATGTTATATATATGAATATATCATTCAAAGATAATAAAAAATGCAATATAGCACTAATTCCTATAAATTTATATGTTTTTTGTTTTATTATTGTATCTTAAGTTGTTTTGTTCAAACTTATAATTAGTTTCACATATGTATAATCAATAGACACATGTGTTTAAACAATTGACACGTGTGTCCTCCAAGTGTCCAAAGAGTGTCCGGGTCTTTAAAAATATTTAAAAAATAGGACACGTTTTGAAGAGTATCGGACACGTGCCCTAAGAGTGTCCAAAGAGTGTCGGTGTCCAACACGGACATGACACGGATACGTCACCTTCTTAGAAGTGTCCGTGCTTCTTAGGCGTTGGCTTCTGACCTGGTGGTGGCCAATACTATGTATAAGAAGAGGGAGGAGCATTTGATAACTTATAAGAGCCGGTCAGTTAGGAGCCAAATAGATTACTTCTTAGTGAGAAAAGTGGACCGCATAAAATGCAATGATTGTAAGGTGATTCTTGGATAGAGCCTGATCTCTCAACATGAGATTTTGGTACTAGATTTATGTTTTAGAGGGCAATACCAAGCTAGGAAGGATGGTGGGCGTCGTAGGACGAGATGGTGGGACCTAAAAAGGGATAAACTAGAAATATTTAATAATGGAATGGATAAGGAAGGTACTTGGGTCATGTTTGTTTGGGCGGACTGGATTAGTATTCCCATGACTAATAGTCCTAGGACTACCAATCTGTTGGATTATATATCCTATCTTAACTAATAGTCAAGTTTAAAATAATTAATTCGTACTTCAATTGTTTAACCAAACATCGGATTAATAATTTTATTGGACTATTAGTCCAATCCTAAGCTCATGTCCACCCAAACAAACATGGTCTTGGGACTTGGAAGATGATGCTAACACTATGTGGAACTCGATGGCCAATTGTATAAGGAGAATCTCAAGGGAAATGCTTGGAGAGTCGAAAGGGACGGGACCCAGCGCTAGGGAAACTTGGTGGTGGAGGGAAGAGGTTCAAACAGTAGTTAAGGCAAAGAAAGAGTGCTTTAAAAAGTGACAGAAGGATAGAACTGAGGAAAACCTTAAGAGCTATAGATTGGCTAATAAGGAGGTCAAAAACGTAGTGAGAGAGGCTAAGTTGAAAGCTTATGATGACCTATACACTAGAGTAGACAGTAAAGAAGGAGAGAAGAGAGTATACAAACTTGCTAAGATATGAGAGAGAAAAACAAGAGATTTTAACCAAGTTAAGTGCATCAAGAGTGAGGATTCTAAGGTATTGGTGAAGGATGAAGAGATTAAGGAAAGATTGAAGAATTATTTTGAGAAACAATTAAATGAGGAACATGGAGGTACGGCAATGGGGAAAGAAATGGCTAGTAATACGATAAACCAAGACTATAGGTTTTATCGCAGGATTAGGAACTTTGAAGTGGAGATTGCACTTAAGAAGATGAAATCAAATAAGGCTTTAGCACCCGATGATATCCCTATTGAAGCTTGGAAGTGCTTGGGTAAAAAAGGGATTGCTTGATTGACTAGGTTGTTTAGCAAAATTTTATTAACTAGGAACATGCCAGATGAGTGGAGGAAGAGTATTTTAGTGCCAATATATAAGAATAAAGGAGATGTCCAAAATTGCAACAATTATAGAGGAATCAAGCTAATGTGCCATATAATGAAAGTGTAGGAGAGGGTGATGGAATGCCGATTGCAAGATATAATAGAGGTGTTAGAGAATCAATTTATTTCATTTATTTTTTTTAGAGGGATATATATTTATTTCATTTATTTGATTTTATTTACAGAGTAACTAACTACACATAAAAAAATTAAAAAAAAATAAAATAAATAAATATGTAAACATAGATCGACCAAAAAACACAGAGACGAGAGACGAGATGGTCTCTCTCTCACAAAAAATGGTCTCTCTCTCTCGATTAAACACAGAGACGAGACGAGACGATACAGATCGACCAAAAAACAGATCGATCGAGAGGACGAAACAGATCGATCGAGAGAGAGGACGAAACAGATCGAGATTATGGTATACAGAGATCGACGAAACACAGATCGACAGAGATCGATGCAAGCAAACAAACAGAGGGAGCGAAAGGGAGAGAGAGATCGACGAACCTGATCGAGAGAGAGGGACGACCGTTGAGCTGCTGTTCGAGATCGACTGAGAGGCAGATCGGTGGACTCCTTCTCTCCTTCGCGGGTGCTGTTCGAATTCGACCTAGGCTAGAAGGTAAGTTAGATTATAATTTTTTTTGTTTTTGTTTTTTATTTGATTTAATTTTCATATTTTACATTTTGGCCCCATTTTAAGTTTTTTAAATTATTTTTTTGCCCCCGCCGTATCCATACCGTATCACGCCCGTATCCTGACCGTATCCTCCCGTATCCGAGACGTATCCGAAATTCAAAAATTAAAAAAAAAAATTGGATACTCTATTTCCCGTATCCGATACGTATCCTCGCGTATCGGGCGCGTATCCGTATCCGATACGTATCCGATACGCATACGTGGCCTATTTTGGAGTATCCGTGCTTCATAGCCGAGGATCTACCTTAAGCCCTTATCTTTTTGCTTTAGTTATGGATGAGTTGACGAGAAATATTCAGGATGACGTGCCATGGTGTATGCTTTTTGCAGACGATATCGTGCTGGTGGATGAGACTAGAGAAGGAGTTAACACAAAGTTGGAGATTTGGAGAAAAACTCTTGAATCTAAAGGTTTTTGGATAAGCAGAAGTAAGACAGAGTACATGGAGTGTAAATTTAGTAACAGTAACAATGAAAGCAGAGGAGAAGTGAAGATTGAGAACCAAGAATTACCTAAGAGTGAACATTTTCATTATTTAGGGTTGATTATCATAACAACCGGGGAGATTGATACGGATGTGGCCCATAGGATTAAGGCGGGATGGTGTAAGTGGAGAAGTGTATCTGGGGTACTGTGCGATAAACGAATACCCACTAGACTAAAAGGTAAGTTCTATAGAATGGCTATTAGACTAGCGATGTTGTATGGGACGGAGTGTTGGGCAACCGAGAAACAACATGTAGATAAGATGAGTGTGGCTGAGACGAGGATGCTAAGATGGATGTGTGGCAAGACTAGACAAGACAGAATTAGGAATGAGTGTAGTCGGGAATGGGTAGGAGTAGCACCGATAGAAGATAAGTTGAAAGAGAATCGATTGAGATGGTTTGGTCACATTCAATGGAGACCAACAGAGGCAGTAGTGAAGAGATACGATATTATAATGGTAGAGGGGAGTGTCAGGGGACGGGGTGGCCCTAGATTAACGTTGGCTAACGTTGTAAGTAGAGATATGGACCTACTTAATTTGACTAACGAAATGGCCTTTGATGGGGCCGCATGGAGAAGAAGGATTCATGTAGCCGACCTCATTTGATGGGACTTAAGACTTGGTTTGGTTTGGATAGAATACAAAAAGGTGCTATGATTTGTAACATGATGCCTATTCACTTTTGACATAACATACACCTTTTTAGTGCTTAAAATTTGTAAATACTATAAGAAATATTGTTTTTATACTTAACCAATTCATTATTAGAACATTATGTGATAATATAAAACAAATAAACATGTTAAGAGACTATTTTGTCATATTTTGGTTGATGTGTTAGTTAGATTATACATATATAACTGTTAATAGATTATTAGGTAAAGAAACAAATAACTTTTTCACAATGAGAGAAGAGAAAGAGAGTACAATAAAAAATGTTCCTTATGTGACGTTGCCTTTTTTTATAAATTCTAGAACACATTTCTTGATTTTTGCATTAGAATTCAAAATGACAACATTGCATAAAATTCAAACCGTGGTACCCCGATACACAGTCCAAAATTATCAAAATAGTACGAGATATACGGGACACACCAGTGCAAACCAAAAATTTAAGTGGGACGGAAGAGATGTACAGGTATACAGTTTTAATGCCAAAACTGTATATTCCGCGTCATACCGGTTGGTACAGTATGGATCTAATAACTATGCTAGCTAGAGGGCAGTTTATGCAGATAGTGGACACATTAATATAAATTTGAATTCTAAAGTTCCTAGAAAAGCTTTCAGGGGCTTGTCAGAGCAAATTAGAGAAGATGCTTTATAGTTTCATGCATGATGTCAGATTGATTTCACAGATTCTAATTTTTTTTCATAAGACTGTCTCACCTTGAATTTGTCATCTTTGACTTGAGTAATTTTGGGATTAATAAGTAATTGGTAATAGACTTGTATATAATTCTGTCTTATCTTCTATTATAATAGCAAGTACTTTTGTGAAATGTGCTCTGCTTTGTTGTATTACTAGAGGCGGATGCACACACAATGCATGTGCAAAGATCTATAATTTATGAATGAAGAAGATGAATAGAAACTGTCCATGTTTGTGGAGATCTAAATGTTTGAATTAGTTTGATTGTTTGACACAACAGTTTCAAAATGATCAATTGTTGTGGCCATTTTTTGAAAACCCAAAAGCATGATGAAGACAGTGTTCACACCAACTGACCTATACACTTTATATAATAGTATAGATGGTCTTGTCTGATTTGAGTGACCAATGCCTTTTCTCCAGTATGCAGGTTGAAGTCAGCAAATATACCGAAGGTGTGAATGACAAGGCATTACGACCGAATGGATTGCCGAAGTCTTTGATCCGCTATGATGGTAAGCTAAATTACCTGGCTTGGCTTTATGTGCCCTAATCTTTTCATCTTTCTTACTTTTTACGTACCAGCTCGTCAAAAAGAGGACGCTTTAGGCTCGATCACAGAGGTGGTCCAGACTGTGAAGCATCCACGATCCCATATGCAGTCTATAAAGCATGACACTTCTGGCAAGCTTGAAGAGGAGGAATTCAACCTCGATTCTATTCTGCCTAAACCTGCTGAAATTGAGATCATGAGTGCACCTGGCAGACAGACCCCTCAATTGGATTCTAAAACTGATGTACCTCGCGCAAATTCTTCTCAGGAGTTTGGCAAAAAATCCAGAAAATCACTCCGCATTTCCTTGATGGGGTGAGTCCTTTTTAATTAAGTTTATGCTGTTTTTCTTAGATACCAATGTTGCTTATGCATAAATTAATTGTCCATATTTTCTACTAAGTATGGAAATGTTAGGGGGAAGAGAATCTAAGCTGACATGGGATGCTGTAGTTAAAATAATATGAGGTTATTTAATTCAACTGACCAAGCATAATGGTGAAAAATGATTCATGTAACCAACCCCACTTGATTGGGACACAAGGATTAGTTTGGTTTGGTTTGGTATTTGCTGCTAAGTATTGGTATTGCTATTGCCAGCCAGTGATAGGCATGACAGATGTTTCTTATAATCGTAGTTGATCTTTGTTAAAATTGATGTATTATTGATTGATATATATTGATGTTAATTGTGTATTTATTACAATGATTCATGATTCCTATATATACAAGAGGGTGAGTGTGTAGTAGGTAAGGAGTAGGTGAAGTGGAGGTGGTAGTGGTGTAGTGGGTTAGGTTTAGTGGAGTAAGGAGTAGGTGAAGTGGAGGTGGTAGTGGTGTAGTGGGTTAGGTTTAGTGGAGTAGGTGAGGTGGTAGTGGTGTAGTGGGTTAGGTTTAGTGGAGTAGGTTTAAGTGGGTGAAGTAGGTGATAGGTTATAGGTTTTAACAATCTTCTATTGTACCTGAAATTGTGAGAGAGTTGGATAGTTTGGAGCCAAGTGCTCAAATTCATTGGTAGGTCAAGCACTACCTCTCTAAAATTGTGTGTTGACATTTTCAGTGCGGATTTGCAGTCAACCTGTGATTTGGTCTTTGTGGGAGTGTGGGTTTCACCATGCTCCAACATGCAATTGATTATTTTCCTTGTTTTAAGCTTTCCTTGTCAAGATGCAACTGCAGCTAATCATAGCTAGTTAGAAGTTACCAAACCATAGATGTGACCACAGGTTGATAAACGTGAATCTTAAGTAAAACCTTGGCATATTCATTAAGTCCTTTTGTTTTTGAGTGTGTGTGTGTGTATATCTTTCTCTGTATGAAGAAAATTTGATTAAAAATAAAACAAATTAAAATAATGAGCTATTTGTCTAGCAGGCTGACAACAAAGAAAACCCCAACTCCCAAAATAACAAGAGAAGAATTGTAACACTTACTACAATATTTCTACAAAACTCTTTCCATTTAAACCGGCTTTTATTAGATCTTGATCTTAGGTCACACAAGTGTATTATTTTGAAAAGATGGCATGATTTCAATGTTTTTGTCATTGTTGATCATGCCTTAAAGTTATGTGCCAATTTGCTGTTTAAAAAAATTCTGTAACTTAGACATTTTTCTCATTGTTGGTCAAGCCTTGAAATGACTTGGTATATGGCTTTTCTGCATCAAAATAATAATGGATTTGTTTGTATCTTTTCCTTCAATTGAAATGTTTCCCCACATTTTTCTTTGGTCAGAATGCTTCTGTAGAGATTTAATGTATAAAGAGAAATAGAGAATTGTATTATTGATTGATATAATGTTGATATTTATTACAATGATTCATGATTCCTATATATAGAAGAGGGTGAATGTGTAGTAGGTAAGGAGTAGGTGAAGTGATGTATAAAGAGAAATAGAGAATTGTATTATTGATTGCCAATTTGCTGTTTAAAAAAATTCTGTAACTTAGACATTTTTCTCATTGTTGGTCAAGCCGTGAAATGACTTGGTATATGGCTTTTCTGCATCAAAATAATAATGGATTTGTTTGTATCTTTTCCTTCAATTGAAATGTTTCCCCACATTTTTCTTTGGTCAGAATGCTTCCATGTTTTCTCTGCTATTCTTTTTTCTTCATTGTTTTTTAAATTGCACAAGATTAGTTCACTGTTTCCAGAAAATGGAAAATAAAAGATAATGGTTTACTACTTTTTTTTTTCTGATTACTAGCATGGTTATTTTTCTGACTTATGACCTAACTTTCAGTCCGTCAGCCATTTGTTTACTAAGTGCACTATGTTCTTAATCTTAGCTTACTATATATTAAAATTGATCAGCAGAGACTTACTCCCTGCCTAATTGGCTTTTGTTGAGGTAATTGATGGAAATAACTAGTAGTTCTGAGAAGCCACTGCTGAGACTAGTTGTTCTCTTATGAGGTTGCTGCTTTATGCTCCTCTGGTTTATTTGTTGGACCAATTTCCTAATAACTTGAGCTTTTAGGACAGTTGGCATCTTGGTTCCAAGAAGGTCGGAGTTTAAGTCTCGTACTTTATGTTTGTTCCCAATTCTGCCTATTATTGTGCATTGTGTGAGTTTTGTACACTTGTTCAGTTCAGTTTGTATGCTCATTTGATTGCCTCTACATGTCTCGCACATTGGTTGGAAGAGGGATGGGGATTGTTGTTTGGTAGCTTGATATACATTTTGAGGTCCATTTACTAAGCTTTTGAGATAATTGGTGACGTAACACTTGCAAAATAATCTCAAAGGTTGACCTAAACCTTTTCATTGAGAAAAGCTAAGAAAATAGATTTATCTGGTCTTCCTTTTGAAACTGATTCCGAGTCATGCTGTCTTGGAATTAATTCAAGTTGTCCACTGAACAGCAAGGTAAACGTAATATTTATTCTACAATCCTCACAATCTAGGTTATATTGGGTTTTGTTGTGATTTATCAGATTTCTTTCCATAACTTCAACTACAGCAAATATCTCTGTGCTGCATTAACATTTCTCTGGATCCTAACCCAAATGTTAAGAATTTTCTGGAAGGCCCTGTTGACTGCATGATGCGTATTTACATATCCAGTGTGACCCTTTTGCAGATTTAAAGAAAGGTCTCTAAGCTATGCTGGTACTCATGAATGTCAACCAAGGATTGAGCCAGAGGTTCTGATGACGAGAAACATAGAACGCATTGACAGTTGGGACCGTGCTGAACGAGAAAGGGATATACGTCAAGGAATTGACCTAGCAACTACATTGGAACGTATTGAAAAGAATTTTGTGATAACGGATCCTAGACTTCCTGATAACCCAATTGTAAGATAAATATTCAAAAGCTAAGTTCTGTTAAATTTTGCTGTTATAGCTATTTTGCAATTGCTACAAACAGAATTTATAGTTTTTTAGAATATGAACACAAATGTAATTAATCTGTGGCCTTATTTATCCCAAAAAAAAAAAAGTGCCATATGTTTCTATGAGAGCCAGTCAGTTTAGGATATAAAGTCTGTCCATAGCTACTATTCCAGTGAGTTTTGCATGTCAAAGTCTATTTCAAGCTGAAGTAAAGCATTAAGATAAGTGCTAAGGAATAAAGATTTTATGTTATTTTCCTACCAAAGCTTCAAATAATTTATGGCAATCACAAAAATATGGAAAAATTAAATCTTTCTCATATTTTCTAAGTGTTTCTATGAGAGCCAGTCAGTTTAGGATATAAAGTTTGTCCATAGCTACTATTCCAGTGAGTTTTGCATGTCAAAGTCTATTTCAAGCTGAAGTAAAGCATTAAGATAAGTGCTAAGGAATAAAGATTTTATGTTATTTTCCTACCAAAGCTTCAAATAATTTATGGCAATCACAAAAATATGGAAAAATTAAAAATTGAAATATCTATGCATTAAAAATAGTTCATCAAAACATAAATATGTATATATATACTTATGAAACAAAGGCACAACAAGAAGGTTCAAAATCCAATAAATAGTTAATATATATATGTATATGTATACAAGTACAACATGTATATACACAAAACCATTTTGAACATGAAAGTCTCAACTTTGTTGCAGATCCTACACTTTCAAAATAAATTATAATTTTAAACATACAATATGCTTTCTGTGTTGGGGAGGCTGCATAAATTATAATTTTAAACATAATATCTTAATTGTATCTTTATATCAGTTTAAACACATAATGTCTAATGAATTTTCATTCATCTATGGGGGCCATGGCCCTTGCCAGCCTCCTTTAGTTATGCCACAGGTACACAACCATCCTAGCGTAAGATATGAATAATGTCCTTTGTGAAGTAGTTCTTAAGGAATGTGGACAACTCTGTGCTTTAGCAGTTGCTTGGCTGTTCTCCATCTTGATGTGTTAATTTCTATTTTGTGTTTGTAATTTTATCACATGTCTGGTTACTTAGAGCATACTTATTATCTTCATACCTGTGCATTCCTTATGGTTATTCATCATGAACTCTACAGAGAATGTAGCTTGTATTTTTTAACCTTCTTAAAGTGTTTTGTCAATTCACTACATGGAATGGATGCTTCATTTTGTCTTTCATCTTACATCATGCTTTTTAGGTGGCAAATGTGCTCCCCATTTGATATGCAATTGATATCAGGTTGTATATGGAAGTGACATCTTGGTACTTGACATGCAGATATTTGCTTCTGATAGCTTTCTGGAGTTGACAGAGTATACACGAGAAGAAATTTTGGGAAGAAACTGTCGGTATGAATTTCTGATTTTGCATAATTGCTTGTTTTGAAACTTCAGCTATTATCTAGATATTAAATGGTTATCTTTTTCTTTCTTTGTGTAATGATGTCTCGTTCCACCATACATTTTATAAGGCTTGGTCCTTTCTTTGGGTTTGCTGACCATACTCCTGTCTTTGTTCTGTTTCCCCCATTACTTTACAATCAGATCAAAAATAAACTTTGGGACTGCTGAATCATGTACAAATTGTAGAAAAATGAGGAAGCAAAAATGAATAATACATAAAGGAAGCAACAAAGAGTCATTACAGTTTTTTTTTTTAACTCGTATCAGGGGAGGCATGGTAATTTGATCTTCCAGCATTCAATACACACGGAGAAGAGAAGAGCGGGAAAAAAAACCCACTTCTAAACAGGCTGAAAAATCCACCATTAGTCAGTAATGTAGATTGGCTTGGATTACTTAGCGTTGCGCAAATTACCGATTTGGGTATTGATCTGTTACCAAGTTGTACTTGCTCTCTTATTTGCTGCACATTTGGAATATAAATTAACATGAAGGCAGAACTGTTAAATGTTTATAAATGAATATAATTGGGTTGGGGGTTGTAGGTTGAAGGGTCAAATTTTAATCTTTGCATTTTTTCTTCCATATTGCAATCTCTAAAAGAAAATAGACATGTAATATTTTGTGTCAGTGATTGTTCTGTTTCATGGTTCGGTTGTGATGTTTTTGATATGATATTGGTTTGGCATTTTGTGGCATGAATTTTGCATATTAAGCCCCTTTCATTCTCTTTTCAGCCCTGTAACTATTTTTATCAGTAATTCAACATTGGCAATTCTAGCTGCTAAACTTTATCTAATTATGCAGATTTCTCCAAGGACCTGAAACAGATCAAGGAACTGTATCAAAGATAAGAGATGCTATCAGAGAACAAAGGGAAATTACTGTTCAGTTGATCAACTACACTAAGAGTGGTGAGTTATTGCGTTTGGTATTGTGGTGATGTGGATGTACTACAAACTGCGTTTTACTTCAACAATTGAATCATGTGGTTGATGAGCTTAGTATGGTGTCTGACTTGGTGCATTACAAAATTTGCAGGAAAGAAATTCTGGAATTTATTCCACTTGCAGCCAATGCGTGATGAAAAGGTGGCTATAGATGTGTATTATAGGATTTTGTTATAATCTTGAATACAATTTGAATCTAGATAAATATTAATTCCCCTCCTGAAATTTGAGTTCCTTATTTTTAGGGTGAACTTCAATACTTCATTGGTGTTCAACTAGATGGAAGTGATCATGTGGAACCCTTGAGAAACCGCCTTTCAGAGAAATCAGAGCAACAAAGCACTAAGCTGGTATAATTTTAGTTGAACTTGTCTGGATTCTTGTAGTTCAATTTTTCATGGATTAGATGATTATGTGTGGGTGTAGTCACGATGTTAATGTTGATCTCTTATTAGGCCACATTTTAGTGACTCCCTGTCTTGAAGCAAGTTTGTTTTTTTTATTCCACTTCCAATAGGTGCTAGTTTGTTGGGTGATCAGACTGATTGAGAACACGGTAATTTATAGGCGAATCTTGTGGTCATGGAATGATGTTGCACTTCTTTTTTAATTTATAAGTAAACATTTATAAGAAAAGGCATTGAAGGGGATGCACTTGAGTACAACAAAGGAAGGAAAAAAAAGGTTTCCTAACTACCTCAGCAACAAGAACCTTACATTCACATTCTTTTTATCCAAAATACTACAAAATCAATAAACTGCTCAAGATGGGTTTACCCCTATTCTTCAAATTTAGAAAAGGTTCCTCTACACCTTCAAAAGATCTCCGATCTCACCTAATGATTCACATCACACATTGAGAAGTCATCAATTCGGTTTTACAAAACTGCCTAAGCGAGTAGTCAAAGTAGAGTGATCCCAAACTTGGGAGGGATTATGGGTGTAGGACACCTTGTGGAGGACAGTGTCCTCGAATTTGTTTGCTTTTGTGGATTTTATAGATACTCTTGGTGTTTAGGTTTGCATTTTGTTGATTTTTGTTGTTGTATTCTTTAGCATTGTCTTGATGCTTTTTGGGTAATAAATTGGCTTCTGTTTAAAAAAAAAAATTAATAATTATTTGAGGGAAGTATCTCACAATAGCTGAAAAAGGTAGGTGAAGTAAAGCGGGCTAGGCCAAGGAGGGGTTCGAGGCATTGGAACCCTTTGGGAAGCACCTACAAGGTGTGTTTTTTTTAGGAAGGAATAAGGTGATTTGGTGTTGAAATAAGAGAATTTCGGTTGAAAAGTATGTGCTTTAACACAAAGTGCTAGGCCATAATAGCCAAGTGGGAGGGTGAAGTGGAGTAGACCCAAGTCTGAGATGGATTCTAAGTATATGGTTGCCTTCATGGACATGTAAGGGGTGTTTCCCCAAACAAACAGGTGATTAGGAGTTGAAGTATGATATGTTCAAGCTAAAAAGTTGGTGTTTTTTAAAAATAGTTGGAAGTTTTCTAAAAATGGTTGGTATTTTAATTTAAAGTGCATGAGAAGCATACCACGACAACCCAAGCAGGTAGGCAAAGTGTAGTGAGCCTAGGTTTGGGAGGGTTCCTGGGTGTAGGGATGCCTTTAGGAGCACTTGTAAAAATCAGTTTCCTTGAGAAATAGTTGATTCCTTGTACCATTTTTTGGGGCAAAAAGTGGATCTTTAAAGGTTTTCAAGGAAGCGTGCAACAATAATTTAAGCATGTGGAGTGGGCCTAGACTCAGGATGGTTCAAGGATAGGTACATTGTGGGGAGCACTTGCAAGGGGTGTTTATCCTAACAACCGGGTGATTTGGAGTTGCAGTACTAACATTTCAGACAAAAAATGGGCACATTATCTCAAAGTGAAAGGGAAGCATGGCACAATGGCCCAAGTGAGCCCAAGCTTAGGAAGGGTTCCAAGCATAGGGACACCATGGGGAGCACTTGTAATCGGCGTTTCCCTTAGCAAATGAGTGGTTTGGAATTAAAGTACCTCTCACTGGACAACATGCTGGAAAACAATGGAAAGAGATGTGTCACGTATTATATTTCCTATCTGAAAATGTTTGCATATAAATGCATATAATTTGAAAGCCATCCAAGTTCCAACCATTTCTCAGTCATGGAAAACATTCGACATAAGCCTCTAATTTATTTTTGAGTCATAGAGTAAGTTTTTCCTCAATTCCTTAAGGCAAAACCATACGTTCTTGTTGGAGATAAGGTTATATTATCAAATATATCAAAAGATATGGAAGATATTAGAATATATGGAGATCCTATGATTTATGAGAAAAATATTTTAGAGAAGAGAAAGTGATAGAGATTGAGAGAAACCTCATCCCCTTTTATATTAAGAATAAAGCATAATTACAAGAGTGCCATAAGACATGAATTATGGACCAGCTCATTACAGCCCATTTAGAATAAAATACATGAATATAATTTCCTATTCTAACACTCCCCTCAAGCTGGTGCGAAGATAGCTCTCATGTCCAGCTTGTTGAGAATGTCATTAAACGGTTTGCTCCATATTCCTTTGGTGAGAACATCTACTAGTTGGTCCCCAGTCTTCACAAAAGGAGTACATATGGTCTCATTAGTGAGCTTTTCCTTAATGAAGTGCCTATCAATCTCCACATGCTTGGTTCTGTTATGTTAAACTAGATTATGAGCTATGTTGATCGCTGTTTTGTTATCATAGTACAATCTCATGGAATCGGTCTGATGGATCCATAAGTCTCCTAACAATAGTAATCCATAGCAACTCACATACACCCTGAGCCATAGCCCTGAATTCTGCCTCGACACTAGATCTAGTAACCACATTTTGTTTCTTACTTCGCCATATGACTAAGTTGCCTCCAATAAATGTGCAATATCCAGGAATTGATCGCCTGTCAGTGACTGATCCAGCCCCAACCGTATCAGTGAATGCCTCCACACTGAGATGTCCATGTTTCAAGAAATAGAGACCCTTTCATGGAGAAGACTTCAGATACCTCAGGATTTTCATAATTGCCTCTAAGTGGGAAGTTCTAGGAGCATACATAAACTGGCTAACCATGCTCACTGCAATGGCAATGTCTGGACGCGAGTGAGATAAGTATATGAGCTTACGCACTAGTCTCTGGTATCTCCCCCTATCCACTAGCTCTCCCCCTTGATCCTCACTTAGTTTTTGACCTGGTTCTAGAGGTGTATCACATGGTTTATCTCCAAGCATCCCAGTTTCCTTTAGCAAGTCAAGTATATACTTCCTCTGGCATATGTAGATGCCATCTTTGGACCAAGCTACTTCAATGCCCAAAAAATACTTCAAATTACCCAAGTCTTTGAATTCAAACTCCTTGGCTAAGTGTTCCTTCAACTGAGGGATCTCCTCAACATTATCCCCTGTCAGAACAATATCATCAACATAAACACTAAAAGCTGTGGTCTTACCATACGAGGAATGTTTCACAAATAAGGTGTGATCAGCTTGACTTTGCTTGAACCCATATCTCAGCATAGCTTGAGCAAACCTTTCAAACCAAGCCCTAGGAGACTGTTTTAACTCATAAAGTAACTTTTGGAGCCTGTACACTTTACCTTTGGACTTAGCATCATCAAAACCAGGGGGAATATCCATATAGACCTCTTTTTCTAGGTTTCCATGAAAAAAGGCATTCATCATATCAAACTGATGAAGTGGCCAATTCGAATTTGCTGTAAGAGAGAGTAGTATTCTTATAGAGTTCATCTTAGCAACCGGTGCAAATGTCTCCTGGTAATCTACCCCATAAGTCTGAGTAAAGCCCTTAGCAATTAGTCTTGCTTTGTACCGTTCTATGGAACCGTTTGCTTTGTGTTTCACAATGTACACCCACTTACAACCAACTGGATTTTTGCCTCTAGGTAACTCCACTAACTCCCAAGTGCCATTCTTGATGAGAGCTCGTATCTCCTCCATTATAGCATGTTTCCATTCAGGAGTAGGGAGAGTATCCTGAAAATTGTTAGAGAGACTCACAGAAAAAATCTTAGATAGGAAGGCTTTATATGAGGGAGACAGATTAGAATAAGAAACATGATTAGTAATAGGATGTTGAGTACATGACCTAACCCCCTTCTTATTAGCAATGGGAACATCAAGATCTGAAAACTCAGGAATAGGAGCATTAGGATCAGAATTACCTGAACTCTCAAGAGAGAGGGATGACTCTAGACCCTCATCCGGAGAAGAAGTTGGTAGTAGAGGAGGGAAAGTAGTCTCTTGCATCTAGGTGACTTTCTGTCTATCCTTGTCCTTGACATAAACTTTGCCTGCTTCCTTTTCCACAACAACTGCGAGCTCATCATCCTCTGTTCGTTCAATCACTGGTGGTAGTGGAATAGGAATCTCTGCACACCTAGGCTCTCCCTGAAGAGATGACTGTGACACTGGGGAGGTTAGAAAGTAAGACTGAGACTCAAGGATTCATCCATGGAGACAAACCATTTGCGAGTGAGAGGATGATAAAACTTATAACCCTTTTAGGTGGCAGAGTAATCCAGGAAAACACACTTAAGGGACCTAGGATCCAATTTACCATGGGTGGGTGAATGATTATGGACAAAACAAACACATCCAAAGGTCTTAGGGGGAATGGAGAACCCAGAAGAGGTGGACCCGAACAAAACTTGAAGAAGTGTTTGTTTTTGAAGGACTTGGGTAGGAAGATAATTAATCAAATAAGTTACAGTGAGAACCGCTTCTCTCCAATAGGATCAAGGAACACGCATTTCAAAGGATAGACAACAGGCCACATCAAGGAGATGGCGATTTTTTCGTTCGGCAAAACCATTTTGTTGAGGGGTATTAGTGCATGAAGTTTGATGAATAATGCCATGAGTGGCGAAACAATTGGCCAGACCAGAGTCAATATATTTCCCACCATTATCAGAATGCAAAATTTTGACAATCGCCCCAAATTGAGTGCAAATTATTTTATGGAAGTTTCGATACACAGAAAACACCTCACTTTTATCTTTTATCAGATATTCCCAAGTGGCCTTAGAACAGTCATCTATGAAATTAACAAACCATTTTGACCTTTTAAAGACACAAAGCGTGAGGGACCCCATACATCAGAATGAATCAAAAAAAATGGAACTGAACTTTTATTAATAAAAGAAGTAAAAGAAGCTTTGTGTTGTTTTCCAAGTTAACATGACTCACATTGAAAATCAGACACATTATTTTTCTCAAAAATAGAAGGAAAAAGATGCCTAGGTAGTAAAAATAAGAGATGTCCTAAGCGATGGTGCCACAGCCAAAGGTTTTCCTTGGTGGATAGTAACTGAATAGATGAATGA